TACCTTGAACTTGAATTGATTGGTAGAAAAGTAATGGGTAAATATTGATCATGTAAAAGTACCAACTATTACCGATTTTCTAATTGATTATCATCAATATCTTTCTGGTTTTGCCCTATTGATGAGACGATAATATCATTTGAAGTTGGGTTATACTGATTTTGTGATATGTGACGATGTATCCCATCTGTATACATTTAGGATATCCCAGTTTTTTGTAAGTTTGTGCTGCATTTTTAAATGTGTTACACTAAAGTAAATCACATTTTCTGTATTTCTCAGACTTGTAGCTTTTCTATTCGTTGCCTTTACTTGCAAAGTCAATGAATCCTCATTACTGACGATTATTTATCAAAATAAATATTTTTAAAAAGCACCGATAGTCAACACTACAATATCGTCCCCTATCGATTGAAATATTTGGTCCAAAATATTGTATTATCTTCATATTGTCCAGCCCTTATTTGAAGACATGATCTTTAGGCGGACTTTTAATTAAAGGTAATTGCATTCAAAGCAATTAATGTGAAAAATTATTGGCTGATTAATTGGTAATGAAAACAACCCTTTAGTTGCAATACACGCTTAATCCATTAGACTGCAGCAACAGATGGTGTCTGTGTTTGTTAGAAATGTTTAATTTGCTTCTTTTATGGCGTCTATGATGCATACCTGCACCTCGAGTACAATGATAAAAGCAAACGAGCCTTAGCAACACTCATCTTTAGGCGTGTTCTTCTCTTTGTTCTTGCTTTTGCCAAACAACAAAGCTACCGGGATTATCATCAGCCATGGCTCGGATTCAACCCAGCATGAGGCCAACTTATCCCAATGTAGTGGAGCGAGTAATGCAGCGAATTTTAAAGGATCATGGGAACGTACACAAAGGAAATGAGAGCACTTAGGTCTGTTCGATGCATGCAGCTCTACTGCCAGATGATGCTGATCTCCCATGAGTGATGAAACTCCTAAAGGCACACATGACTGCCGGTGTGATGGGAGGGGGAAACGGGAAGGAAAGCCATACAATAAGTCTGAGAGATGTAAAGAGGGGGAGGGGGGGGCAGGCATTGAGAAATGTTAGGAATGCTGCTGCTCCCTGATAAAGGGTGAGTACGGGAGGAATGCGACCCTGAAAAGACTGCATCAACAGAGAGGAGGAGGGGGGTGTTCGGAGGGTGCCAGCTGAGAGGTAAAGCAGGACTAATTTGCCCCACATTCTGTTCAGGATGGGGTCCATATTAGAGATGAGTTTGGAGGCGGGTGTAGCTGTGATGGACGTCAGCTGTAGCGCAGTCTGATGGAGGCATGAGGGAGGCAGGGGTCATGAGAAGAATGGCTCTCGCTCTGCTTTCTTTCTCACAGTTCGGGGTTAATGTGCCGGAACAGACGGGGCCGACATAACCCTGTTAAACGCAGCAACCTCTTCCCTTTGCTCTCAAGGGTCGGACACTTTTTTTTTTCAGTTCAGATGAGGAAAGCTGTTTGTATGGACTGCATTTTGTCAGGAGCATAGTTGATGATATTGAGGATCAAAGTTGGAGATGGATGAATATATGGGTCAGTTCAATTTATTTGATTGTTCGGGCAGAAAAATTGGAAACGAAATTAAACTTTTTTTGACTATTGTGATTATGTTTTGCAATATAAGTGAGAATCATAATAATTGAAGCGCTCACATTATCCTTGAAAAAAATATAGTAAACTTATATTAAGAATCTTTTGGAGATTAAGTTTAAATTATGAAATGACCTGTAGGTTGACCTTCTCGAAGTTAATCCAATGTTTTTCCCCTATTCATTCAAATACACATCTGCTCTTTAAACAAATTTTCCTGCATTTAAACTAACTTCTGCAGAGTTGTGTAAAGGCAGTATTTATTTACTGATGTTGAGCAAGAGACTTGGCACGGAAACCTCGCCCCACTGCCAACAATGCGACGCAAAAAACTCTCGGAGATATGAAACAGTGCCAGCTGATATTTATCATACATACGGTTAAATGTTATGCTGGGTTGAACCTGACCTCTGCTGTTATGCAAAAAAGCCTCTCAGTGGTCACTAATTTTTTTTTATTGGAGGTGAGACAATTCCAAAAAAGGCCAACCACCCTAGTGCTGCTGTGAAAACACTGTCATTCTCCCGCCGTGTAGGAATTATAATTGGGATGGTCTCCTCGCGGTCAGTGAAAGCAAACCATGATCAGTTAATTGCCCGATTGTCTCTTCCCTCGCTGTAGTTGGGTGTGTCGGCTCAGATCTCTTTCTTCCTCTTGCTCCAAACTGGTCGCACTGGTCTAGCCACTTTCTATATGGGTTAACCCGCAGCACTCCCCGTCAACAACATGCTTTGTGTGGGAGCTTTCAGAAGTGTATTATAGGAGCAGCAGCTTGTGCGGAGCTTGTTGTCTACCGTATATGCCTTTACATGATGTAGTTGTATAAGAAATTAGCAGTGTAGTTGATTATGCATTTGACATCAACAATTAGTTTAAGTTTACTGCAATTCTTATGAGAAACTTTATGTAGTTGCCTCCCAAATCATCATGTCTTGCAACACAACAAGGAAAGAAATATTTGTGAAATGAACTGTTTCAATATGCAAATTGCAGGAGGGGATTTTTGTCACTTCTTTGGTGTTGCAGAGTTGTTCCGGCATTCGACTAGTACAGTATTTTACAGACATAAGAAAACATATTTGTTCGGTACAAATCACACTTCATTGCCTCCATTAACCATTGACTTTCTGAACGGTTATAGAAGCCTGTTGGAAGGTTTGCTGCCTAGTGAATACACACCTCCACTGCTACCTATTGATTGTAGCTAGTATCCATGTAAGGGGATAGGAATGTATTCTAATGTTTTTTTTTCTATTGACACAACCGAAATCTGTCTAAAAAAAACAAACAAGGGAAACGAAAGATAGGCTACCACGAGAGAGAGAACGTGACCAAGGCTATCACGAGAGACAGAAAGAACGTGACTAAGGAAAACCACTCTATTAATAATTGAGTAAATGCGGTCATGTTCTACAGATGGTCATCACTTCTTTAGGTTACAGTAAATGACTAAGGGCATGATGAGTGGTGTTGTATACCCCACTTGTTCTCTTATCTTGCCTTTTACTGCTTCGATCCTTTATCTTTATGGTTTCTCCGAGGAAGAAATAAACGCAAATGGCAATGAACAAAGGGGACTTTTGTTTCCTGATGAACCTACTGGGTTTAGTCCCTGGAAGTGTTTAGTTGATAAGGGCCAGGCAGAGGTTTTCGTTATCTCTCCAAAATCACCCACAGCCAACTCCCCTCCCCTAACCGCTTCTGAGCAGATACCCAACCAACCATGGTAATGACAACACAGACATGCTGCCTTCCCACCAGCAGACAGTTATTTGATCACTCCGAAAAACTGCAATATAATCTTAAATCTCTGCTCCTCCCCGGGTCCAGCCACTGGAATTTGTATTTATTGCTCACAGCAGTTTGCAAAAGAAGTATCGCAGAGCCTTGCTCGACATGGTTGTGTTTTATGTCGACCCGTCCTCACTACAGCAAACTCTTCCTGCCGTACATCCCATCAGTGGAGACTTGAGCATTCCTCAGAGATTGCATGTGAAGATGAAAGGGTAGCAAAGGTCTGGCCCTGAACACGAAACACATCCCTCTGCCTGCTTTGCTGCCAGATTTTATTGAAGACGTGTCGCAATGCCAAGGCTTTCCACAGGGTGCTGGAGCAGCAAGCCAGTTGGAAAAAAGAAACCACACATTTTGGATATTAAAACCCAAATTTGGTGGCCCCTGGCATGTTCCAAGCCACTATTGCACGCATTATAGGACATTTTAAACGTCTCAAATATAATGTGAAGAAGAGGCACTGTTACTTTGACATCATTGCCTGTATAAGTGTGTGTTTGCAATGCGTCTTGGATGGTTCTGCTGCTGTATAAATCAAGATCATTTCTTCATTCACTAAGCCCATAAACGCCTGTGGAGTATATTGGAAATGCATTACTTTCAGTTTCCAAACTGCTGGCACCAGAGTTTCCCCAAGTATCTCCTGTCTGTGCGATCAATGCAGTTCTTAATGTGTTTTTCTCATCAATTATTTTTGTTATCTACAAAGTACACTCTCTTTTCGATGGCAGTACACAACCATCTGACCCATACATATTCAAAATAGGAATGTGGGTGTGGCCCGATACATATGGGACGTTACTCAATGGTCATATTCGAATTGTTTGAAGTGAGGCTAGTGGTTGGAAAATATACACACATTACAAATCATCTAACTTGTAATCAAACCTTAGATTTAAATATTGTTTGAGATAGATATTTAGAGTTGAACAATTCAGAAAAAATAAGTAATTGCAATTATTTTTGCCTGATATTGCATTATGATTTCACAATATCGAGGAGAATGATAACTTTTTGGAATTTTTATTGAAAAATATATTAAAAATAATCATTTTGTTTGTGAAAAGGGGATCTGTACAAAACAAGGATTTCATATCCTGTGTTCTCATATTTTTCAGTTACCAAAAATGTCATTGTGATTTGCATATTCCACTAGTCCATATTGCCAATTCAAAGACATTTTGATTACCGGTAGTTGTGGACCCCTAATTGATATCTACATTTCTGACTACTGTTCATGACAACACACATTTTCATTAACAAGAAACACTCTCTCTTCAGTTAGTATGCTCCAAACATCTGGAACAAACTCCCAGAAACCTGCAGGTCTGCTGTATCTCTTACTAGTTTTAAATCCAGGCTGAAGACTTCTTTTTGCTGCTGCTTTTAATTGAACTATTCATATCTCACACTGCACTGTAACTTTTATCCATGTATTTATTTTGATGTTATTTTATTATCTTTGCTTTTTAATGACTGCTTTTAAAATGCCATTTTCTGAATGTCTTTCATTTTTGTAAAGCACTTTGAATTGCCTTGTGTTGAAAGATATAAATAAACTTGCCTTGCCTTCCTCTCTCTGTAAACAGCTACCATGTCGGCCGCAGACAAGTTCCTGTACGTGGACCGCAACCCGGTCAACAACCCTCTGGCTCAGGCCGACTGGGCCACCAAGAAGCTGGTATGGGTTCCCTCGGAGCGCCTGGGCTTCGAGTGCGGCTCCGTGAAGGAGGAGCGCGGCGACGAGTGCGTGGTGGAGCTGGCCGACTCTGCGAAGAAGGTCCGCGTCAACAAGGACGACATCCAGAAGATGAACCCGCCCAAGTTCAGCAAGGTGGAGGACATGGCCGAGCTCACCTGCCTGAACGAGGCGTCGGTGCTGCACAACCTGAAGGAGAGATACTACTCTGGGCTCATATACGTGAGTACGCAGCCTTCAAGGGTGCACAATCGTAATGGAGTTGTACGATACAATAATACTTTAATGGTCAGATCAAGTCTGAAATGCTCCTTGCATCACAGCAGCTCCATGTGTCACATCAACAGACAGATATCAAGCACAACACATGAGAAACAAACAACAAGCATTTAACATAACGGCACGATCAGTGAGAGAAAACCTGCTCAAAGAGCTTTCAGCGTGCTTTTGATCTGGATTCTGCTCTGTAGCCTGACCCTGAACGGCTCCAACGACAAAAAGCCAATGAGATTTTACCATTTGATTTAGCAGAAACAACATCTGTGGCAACACGTGTTTAGGATGTCCCCACCGCTAAGCTAAAGGTGGCTTATGTTGCGCATGATTACGTTTAGTTTCAGTTAGAAACTTGTTAGCAACCGGTGTTTTAGATTCACCAGTGGGGTATTTACTGACATATTTATTGTCATAGAACAAAAAATCTCTACAGACCGTATTTCATGCATCTAAACAAAAACACATTCCAGAAACCATTGACTTTGAGACGAGGAAACTAGATGTGGTAAAATGTTAACTCATCAGATCTTAGATTTTGGAAGTTGCTGTAATTGGGATGAATATATGGGTCAGTTAAATTTGGCCAGTATTAGAATGTTAGGGCATATCCTATTCTATAAGTGGTGTGTTTTCCTAGTTTTAAGTCTGCATCTCAGTAAAGGGATGTCTTTTCCCAATTCTTATCTTTAACCACCAAGTCATTATATCTGGATTACTAATGATAATTTATCAAAGATCTCAATGTGGGACTACTTTGTGAAAGCATCAATAGTCAGCCCAACACAATGGTGAAAATATCAAAGCATTTCCAAATAAATATTGTGATATTTGATATTCCCCGAATAGCCCAGCCCTAGTTTGAAGAATTTTCTTTTTAATTGTTACAAACTCCCCTCTGGCTTAAAGAAAACAATCTGTCATGGCCTGTCTCCAAACCATTTAATCTCCTAATTATCTCATTAGGCTCCATTGTTCAAGACAAACCATTATACGCAAATTGTCACTGCAAAGAAACTCTGACATCTGTTAAATATGCGAGCATTTCTCCCCCCTGCACCCCGTCTTGTTTGCTCTCCCTGTGTTTGGAGTTATCTTGTAAACAGGAAGCTGCCGGGAACAATGCACCATGAGAGATGTGAGACAAATAGTTAGAGAAGTAGAAGGATGGGCGTCCATTTCTTTTGCATCGATGGACATGGAATGTAAATGTGTTCCAACTGCTATTACTTCCGCCATAATTAATGTTTTTTATCCTCATGTGGTGGGGCTGGGAGTGATTTGGTCTCTTTGATTGTGTTTAGTGTGACCCGGTCATATCAACACAGGCCTGTTGTCGGAGTCAGTGCGTTACACTAAACCACCAATCCGTCACACACAGCACTACACACCACACCACACACACCAACACACACACAACACACACTACACACCACACACACCACACACACCTAACACACCACACACACACACAACACCACACACACACAGCAGACTCACGACCCCGTCTTAACTCTATGAGAGGTGACCTAAGGACAGCACGACCGGGACTAGATGAATGGCGTGACTCCTTTCAAGAAGAGACGTCGACAAAATAAAAATAGAGACAATAACAATTAAGTTTCTACTCGGCACCTTTTTTTGTTGGGCTGGCGGAGGACATTTGCCTGGTGCGGTAAGGCGGTTTGTAGTCGGGGGGGAGTAATTTGTCGCCGTGGGACGTCGTCAGTTCGTCTCCCGCCGAAAACGGAAATTTGCGGCCATAATCGATGGAATAGTCACGCGGTGCGAGGGACAGTGGGGTGAGAGAATCGGTGGGGTTTAGAACGCCTCAAGATTTTTATTGTCCTGCCCACCCTCCCACCCTCGCGACCCCCCCCCCCCCGTTTAAAACTTTTCTCAATGGCAACCAAAATTAGGTGTAAATTTTATCGAAAATCGAAAGTCCTCTCGACTCGGAAACTCTAGCTACTAGTTGCTACCAGTTTGCGAAACCTCTCCAGTTATTTGTCTCGAGGCTCAATGAGACTGATATATAGATTACGTATGAATCATTACAGTAAGTGGGGAAGTAACAGCGGTCACTACACCCACGCATACAAGAAAAGACTCGCGACTACTACAACATCATGTCCTATAGTAAAATTTATTTTGAGGAAATGAACGGAGTGATATAGCAAGCTCGGAAAGCGGTCTGACTGTAAAATTCTAACCACGAGGTTATAGACAATAAATTTTATCAACGACGAGGGGAGCGAACAGTCACTTTCCGTTCGATTGATTACCGGCTAGTCGGGCGAGAAGAGGGGGGTAGGGCGGGGTCTAAACGAAGAGTCGTCGAGATGTCGTCGATTTAGTTGACCATCCCAATGAGACCCACGTCGAGGTCAAACTGGCATGTAGTTGATATATCGACGCACCCCGAACTTTACGTTAACGCCCTACCCCATTTTAGTTGACTTATTAACCGACGTGAAAAAACGGAAAACGACCACGAAAACTACAAAATTCCGAGAGATTTCTAAAGTATTAAAGTTCCGAAGCAAAAATTCAATAATCCAAAACGAGCGCGACGACGGACTACAGCCACAAGGAAATCATTACGTAAATAATACAACTTCGCTCTTTAGAACGGTTCTGGAGCTTACCTAAGGTATACAGTAGGTTTCTACATACAGGAAGTACAACTGCTCATGTGACATTAGCCGAATCCCAGACACAAAACTGTTACACGCCCGCCCCCCCCAGCAACTAACGCAATCGCGATGAACTAAAATGCCAACACACAACTCTCAACTGGATGTCTACACCAACTTTACAACTAAGGAAGTCCTATAGAGACGGTCGCGCGGACGTATACACATCCATATGATCGCGAACAACAGGAGAGCCGATATTCCACAGACCAAAAGGCAATAATTAGACCGCACAACGGACCCTATCACAAGCAAGCACCAACGAGCGAGACAAACACACAACCTGAGAGTGAGCGACGTCTCCCGAGACGACCATACACAACGACACACCCCAGCAGGACACATACCGGACGTATTCGCGCACAGAGAGGCAGCTGTTAACCGGACTACGACCACGCCAGTCGGAAAGCATCTGTCATGAGAGAGCGGTGCATATTTATCCTCTCATGAGAGTGCACGCGATATACACACACAGTAGACAATGTAACATAACACCCCACACACCTGACCACTCGCGCAGTGCCGTAGTGAACATCCACAGCGACAGCTAGACATCCACTATCTCGACACGCCCGACCTCCCACCGAACACAATCCAACGAACACGACACTATCCTACTACAACGACACATCATCGTACATCTACCGACATCAGACCGACTCCATTTCACGACAACATACACTAACACCATCACACGAACAACACAGGAACAATAACAGTAAGAGACAGACACAGTGTTCCAATTTACGTCGACGTCTTCAGATTGCGCGATCTGCGCGCCACACCATACTCACACTCTCAGCAACTTGTGACTCTAGCGACACACAAGCACACACACGGAGACGAGCGAGCGAGACGAGCGAGAGACCTAGAGCCACACAGGCACGACGGACCGACACCAATACCTTACCCCACACGAGCGCGACCACACAAACACATACACCCAACACCCGGATCCAGCAGCAGACCAATTCCCAGTCCGGAGCCCTTATGGCCGTGCCTCGTCGCTCCAGAGCGTGACAGCGCACACAGCACACGAGCTACGACAACAACACGACTAGCACGAGCATCGACCACAACGTCGACTACCCTATCTAACCGCACACAACAAACGGAGCACACCAGCGAGCGCGAGCCGACACGACGAGCGACGAGCGGATGGCCGAGACAACAATAAGACTGGTACGAAGAAGTTGATAGCATAAGAGTCTTACCCGTTGCTACTCGGTACTTGTATAGGGAGGCGACAGCACTAAAACACGAGACATCCACGCTGCGTACCAGAGGCGAGAGAACCTTGGTTGTCTCAGGAGCTCTCTTATGCTATCTATGCGACGGCGCTCTATAGTCCTTGACAGCCGGACCCACCATAACCACCTCCTGCGTATGCGAACAGCCACTGCGGTGCAGTACTCATCTCACCCCGCATACCCACAACCCGCACAACGACAGAGCGAGCTCCCACTGATATCGTGTCCACGAGCGATCACACCTGAAATGTAGGATTAATGCATCGATTCCACGACTATCACACAAACAACCTGACACTACTCACAACATAAGTAAACTAAACCTGTGAATCAATCGTGGTGCGAAAAGATTTAAGTGGTCACCCCATAAATACTACATATAACTAAATACAGAACTCTTGTTTTACAGAATAAACAGTACCGCAGATTAATCGGTGTTCTTGGAGATAAAAAGGTCCTCGGAATTGTGATAGTCTGGTTTTTGAAGCTAAAGCAGTAACTTGATTAAAAATTTAGTACAACATAAAGAGATACACACACATCTGTTCCTACTAACACTTCGTCCACTCATTTCCACATGAGTCCCACATCGATGCATCACTAATAACCTATAAATCTGACGAACGAGTGAGTGCACACAACAATTCAACAGAGTAGAAGGACGGTATAGCGAGGACAGAAAATTGCAGTAGCTTATTTTCGCTTCCTGGACTTCCTGACCAACGACACACACACACACCACACACACTTCTCCTCCTAGCTTAGGACACAAGATTTCATGATCCACACACTATAATACTTCTAAAGAGTAACGAACACTAGGAGAACTGACGTACGTACCATACAAGATATTTAATACTCTTACGAGTACCTAGAAGTCGTGACTAAAGATAATAGTCAGAAGGAAGGGAGGAAGTTAGAGATTCTCAGAAGTACTAACATGAGAAGGAAATGAATCATGATGAGGTGGGACGACGTGAAAACTGACTTCTACTAGCTACGCCTTCAGGCCGGATAGATAGCATAGAGTTCCATCCTTACTAGAAAAGACCAAAAACTATTAATTTTAGAAGTGGAATAAGAAAAGGGTATTGAGGTGATGTACAAGGAAAAACACATAGAACGAGGAGGATGGTAGTAGTCGACGTAAGGACCACGACGGGAGGGGTTGTAAAGACATGGTCCGCAGAGAGTGAGACAATATGTGGGCGAGTCAGATTTTCTGAGGTCTCGGGTCTGCCGCGAGGATTGGCTCGCACTCGGACCCAGAGCCTTGTCAAAC